CTTTATACTTTTTTTCTGCACTCAAGGTCATTTAGCACTGAGGGATCTCAGGACTACTGTCACAAGGGACCTCGGTGTAAAGGACCAGTCCCCATGATCAACCGCTATCGTCAATGCGCCACGCAAGGGATGATACAATTGTAAATATTACATAAAACTTTTGCTAATGTGTTTTAAATCAAGAAAATATTGATAGAACAAAATATGGTTAGTTAACAGTATATGGTCTCAAAGTTTGTTAAGTTGAGTTTGGTTCTCGAGCGAAATCAATTTTAATCTTCTATTCTAAAGAATGAGCATACATGTACACGGTATCATACATCTATGCATTAAATAATTTAGTTATTAATTAAAGAACCTCCGGGGATAAATGGACATAAATTGTACAATCTCACAAATCTTTCAAACTAAATGAAAAAAAAACCTATGGACATGCTTGTTTAGTCTGACAAGCTATGTTCAGCCAACCAAATCATGGACATTTAAACCATAAATGTTCGTACACATGATTCCTGCAGATCACACGCTAAAATCGTCCATCTTCTTTTAAGCCACAGTCCAGAATGATAGTTTGATGGCGTGTAAGTTCCTAAAAATGTAAAAAGAAAACGCAGTACCTCATTATCCTATATGTGCACATGCTTAGGTTTTAAGCTCTGAGTATGTAGTCTAATAAATATTTAAGAACACTTTTGAATTATATATCTAATAATCAAGAATATTCAAAAGATTAAAATGTTTTAACACGCATTGTGCTGTCGATTTCTTATCATAAGTAAATTCACAAGTAATATATTATAATAAAAAGTATGTCTTTTTATGGGAAAAATGATAATTGAAGATTTCAACTTTGACCCAAGGAATGAAAAGATATTTAATGTGTTATTCAAAATAATTTGACTTATTTAATCCTTGTATTATTTTTATTCTGTATTATTAATTTCACAATAAGCTACATATCTTCATAACCGTTGTTGATAGAACAGTTTTTAAAAAAACATTTTTAAAACTGTAGTAAGTGAGCGTCATATTTTATTGGAAATACGCACCTTACTTCATTTTAATGCTGGCTTCTCTTCCTAGAACTTCAATAGGCCAATAAAGGAATTGACGCGGGTAATATAATATTCTTAATCACAAAAGGGTCCAAGCTTGTATTCCAAAATATTTCAAGTTAAAGACTACACCGAGTATTTCCTACAAACATACATCGACAATTGCTTCTAAACTTTTTTTATAAGAATAAAATCACTTATTTTAAAGGTCCTAAATAAAGGGAACCCCGATCCTTCAACTGGCGTCGAAATTTCATAAAGATTATTGATTCTGTTGGAAATTACGCCAGACAATGTGCCAGATATGACAAAAGAAGACGTTGACACCTTGTCAGAATGGATTAAATGTATTAGATCCATGTTGACGTCAAGTATTACAAGATTGAGGGGCAGAATGAAAATCATCTATCCTTCTGTGTTCAATAATCCACAAGTGAAAAAAGAAAGATTACATGATCCCTGGTCCCTGCTGACGAAGCTGGTGACAACATTGCCTTCGTTTGTAAGGCCTCTACAGGTGGTAATCCTACTTATACTCATACTTTCCTTTCTTGGGAAGAAATTCTTCAAAATCAAATGTCAGTTTTAGATATTTTTTATATTCCACAGAGACAAAAGGAATTTGCACTAGCCTATATATATTGGATTCCGAAACTCATAAAAATCATTACAAACAAAGATACAATGCGGGTTCCAATAAATGTTCAACCAAACCAAGCAGATGTGGATACTCAAAATTTCCAAAGAATTTTGGACAATTTGAAATCACAAGATTTTTTTAAGGTATTAGATGTATAACAAGCATTGTTGAAGAATGAAATTTTAATTTATATTTCCTCATCTTTAGTGTTTGGAGGCTTTAATTCGAATTCCAAAGTTACAAAAAGTTTTGTCCAGACGTATTTGAAAAAAAGTTGGATTTTCAAACCATACCCCCGCTGTCGGAAACGGTGAAGGGTGTGTTATACCAGAAGAAGAATTCTGTGAAATAAACTCGCTTTCAGACTTTAATTTCACGTAACATGAACAAAAATAACATAGATGCTTTATAATAAAAGATATTTTTTTTTCAAAAGTTACTATTAATTAGTAAAATTTCCAGATTAACATACGTTACTAAATGTTAAGTGTGATTTCTTTAAAAAAGATCAATTCTAATTTTTTTTAATTAAAAAAAGAAAAGACTGGGCTAAAATTTACTTTGATAGAAATTGACTTTAATCAATATTGTACAAAAATAAAATACATAAAATATTTTTTACCAGGATATTTTGGAATAATTAAGCATTTACTACCCCTACCCCCAATTTTAGTATCAGTTTGCTGATACACAAATACAACTTTTTATTCTCAACACCATTGGTATGATTATGACATACTTAAATATTGATAAGAGTATAAAGCAACATAAATAAATAAGCTTTAGGACATTTTTAACAATGTCCTTGACCTTTTAACCTTGTAAAAAAACGTATTTATATATACAAGAAGAATTCTGGGAGATTAAAAATATACATGCAAGCTTGTTATTATGTTAGCTGAAAAATATGGTATTTTTACCCTCATATGTACAGGGAAGTGAAAAACTCATGAAAATGATATCAATAAAATCAATTAAATATAAATATTTATTATGATACCCCCTCCCACTCTTTTTTCTATATTAAATGAATACCTAGATTAAAAAAACCAAATGTGTTTTCCACATCTTTATATATAAAAAAAACTAGTAGTAGAAATAATTTAGTCCTTAACGTTTTATTCTTTTTTTATTAATTTCGTCTCAGTTACGATTATTTTATGAACCTTTAATTTAGGACAGTTTTTTTTTCATTTTGGAATCACAACCTTAGTATACAGTCATGTAGTTATACAACAAGAAACATCTGTTATGTCCATGGTTTCGCACAGAAAATGATTTATTTATCATAAAAAAACTTGGGAATATTTTAAATTGCAGGGATTTTTTTTTATGCAAACGAAAGTCTCGATCTATAGCTGTTACATAACCCCGGTCTAGTTTAGTGAATTAACATGATTATAGATGCAATCTTCTACATATTCCTTGACTATGTTCACTGAAAAACTACAAAAAAATGTTAATAATTAATAATAATGAATAATATGTTATTAATAACATAGTTTAAAGAATAATTAAAACTTATTCGTCACACATCGAAAGCTGTATACTATTTTTAGAACTTGGAAAACCCGAAATATGTATTTTACTTTGAAAAGAATGTTTATGCAGCAATTTGACTAATAAAACTACCGTATCATAGCTTTCTATAAATTTAACATTTGTTCTTTCTTCTGTTAAGTTATTTTCTCTGCTCTGATGACATGTATAATGCCAGCGTCTATCAAGCGGTTTTGACAAAGAGCCATGCTAGTTTACAACGGTCGATAAACAGAGTAACGACATCGGCAATCATCGGCAAACGCCGTCATTTTTACCGGAAATGCCCTGTTATACATTTAAATCCTTAATACTGTAAATCACTTTTTATTCGCGAGAACTTTATTTTCGCGTAATTACACGAGGCAATATACTCGCGAAATTTTTATTCTCGCGTATAATATAATTCCTTAAGATAATATAGAGCAATGACCACAATTTGTGAAAATTTTGTCTCGTTAATAAAGAGTCAATGACTATCTCGCGAAAAAAAGGTGTCGCGAAAATTAAGTGATCTACAGTATACAACCATCCTGAAGATAAAATAAAGTCCAGGCTTTTTGATATCACTGACAGCTGCTTTTTCCATAAATGTAACTCGTAAACTTACTTACCTGGTCATTGGTCATTTGCAAAATTATTTTGTTAAAACACATTCGATTGCACACTCAAGGACTCTAAAGAGGACATCAAAGAGATGCTGGAGTTTTTAATTGACCATATCTATGTGGTTTTTGGAGACCAGTATTCCAACAACCTATTGGAATTCCCATGGGTACCAATTGCGCTCCGTTATTAGCGGACCTATTTTATATTCATATGAAGCAGAACTTGTGCAAAATCTTATGCGTGAAAAGAATAAAATACTTGCTGTGGCCTTCAGCTCTACATTTAGATATTTCGACGACATATCGTCAGTTAACAATGGTCATTTCCATTCCTACGTCGATATGATATATCCTGGTGAGCTTGAGATATAAGATACCACAGAGTTTGACACATCTGTTTCAAACTTGAATTTTTACTTGAAAAAGACGTTAATGGTAACAACCAAGCTTTATGATAAACGTGATGACTTTTCCTTTTCTATCGTCAACTTCCCTTACATATGCAGCAATATACCTTCATCACTTGCATACGGGGTGTATATATCTCAGTTGCTTCGATACGCGAGAGCATGCTCTACGTATGAACAATTTCTTAAACGAGGTAAATTATGGACAAGCAAGTTGATGAAACAAGAATATCAACAGTCTCGTTTAAAGTCGTCATTTCGTAAGTTCCATTGTTAATACAACGACTTTTTCAGCAAATACATTTTATCATTGAGTCAAATGCTAACTGACGTTTTTCATACCAATTGTTAGTCCATTATTTATACACTGAATTGACGACGGATTTTTTCCGTTATTTCCTGATCATGACAACGAGCACAAGGCGGGTGTGACCGGTCGGCAGGGGATGCTCACTCCTCCATGGCACCTGATCCCACCTCTGATGTTTCGGGGGTCCGTATTTGCTCTGCTCTGATTTTGTATATTGTTTAATGGACTCTGAGATTGAATAATGTTCGTTATCTCCATATCCTTCTCCAAATCCTTCTATACATCTATAAATGTAAAGATATAATTTCTTTATAAATTTTTTAAATGGTTACAACTTTAAAATTTTGAAACAATGTTGTGTTGAAAAAAAATGAAAATATCATAAGGCTCTTAATGAGTGTATAACATAAAAACTTGTCATGAGATGTATAAAGAATCCTTTCACCGCCAACTGAAGCGAAAAATACTTTCAATCCAGTTCTGCCCTGTCCCCCCTTGGTTCCTATGGCCATGAGCCGCAATCTTTTCTAATTCTTTAACAATACTTAAATGTGCACCCTCCCTTGCAGCTATGAGTGGTGTGCATCCCTCATTATCCTTTAGATTTATATCAGCCCCCATTTTGATAAGTTCTTGCACAATGTTCAAATGTCCATATCTACATGCAGCTATTAATGGTGTATTTCGCACCATACCTATATGATTGATGTCGGCCCTGACTTTGAAAAGTTCTTGAACAATGCACATGAATCCACCAATACAAGCTGCTACAAGTGGTGTATTTCCCATGATATTTTGTACATTTACCTCAGCCTCCTTCTTAATTAGTTCTTGTACTATGCTCAAATATCCACGCTCACATGCAGTTATCAGTGATGTATTCCCTTCTTTATTCCGTAGATTGATATCAACCCCAAACTTTATTAGGTCCTGTGCAATGTTCAAATATCCTCTTTTTAATGCAGTTATCAATGCTGTATTCTGTTCTTGATCCCGTAAATTGGCATCGCAACTTGCCTCTAATAATTCTTTTACAATGCTCAAATGTCCGCTCTCGCATGCAATTATCAGTGGTCTACGCCCCTTTCTATCCGATAAATTGACATCAGCTCCAAACTTTATTAGTTCTTGTATAATGGTAAAATGTCCTCTCTCTACTGCAATTATCAGTGCTGTATTTCCTTTATTATCCCAAACATTTACCTCAGCTCCAACCTTAATCAATTCTTGCACAATGCTCAGATGTCCATTCATTAATGCAGTTACCAGTGCTATGTTCCATTCTTTATCCCTAATATTTACGTCAGCCCCGGCCTTTAAAAGTTCTTGTAAAATGTTCAAATGTCCACCCTCACATGCCATTATGACTGGAATACGCCCCTTCTCACGAGGTATATTGACATCAGCTCCTGTTTTTATCAACTCTTGTA